GCACATGCTAAGGCTTTTCCTTCCATTGATGAATTCTGCCTTTTGTTGCCAGCACCTAGGAATGTTACACAATGCCCATGTCATTGTTTTGCCCACAGCTTTATTTTGGTTTCAATGAGCTAGTGAACCTAATGTCAATTAAAGCACTGGGAATGTCAGTATTTTAATTCTCTGGGAAGACGCATCATTCTTAGCACACCCTAATCTTGAATTTCAGCTTTCTTCCAGGCCTAGACCTTTGCTAAGTACTCATGGACAAAAGCTCCAAATTATGCTGTGGTCTGGTGATTCTGAGCAAAATGTGCCCTAGGGCTTAGCCTGAGAGCATCGACTCATTTTCCTTGGTGACCCAAGACAGATAACTAGCAGCTAGGTTTCCAGAGGTGAAAGGCTGCTGTCACTAAGCCACTGCAGCAACTTAATTGAATGTTTTCTCTCAGCACTACCAGCGAAGACTGCTTTTACTATTTGCTCTGTGTCAGGATTAGTATGGAGTATTTGCCTGGCTTGGCTCTGAACAAAAACTGTAAAAGAAAAAAAAGTTTGCAATTACTTATTGAGTGCCATTCTGACATATCCAAGGGTCATTCGCACAGCCTTCCAGTCCCTCTAGGTCAAAACTCATTTCTGCTTTGGTAAATCACACACAGGGTGGCTTTGTTGCATGTTATGACCTGTCTCAGATCCACAGATCATCAGGCATCTAAATTAAAGAGCAGAAATTCCATCATGCCTTTTATTTCTGTTTTCCTGCAGAGCTCTTATTTTTGTATTTTCATTCTCTCTCTTTTTTTTTTTTTTTTTTTTATTTCTTTGTAATTGCAGACAAACAGAAAGGCTTCACCTGTAATATTTTCCTCCCTTAGGTTTTCCTATTTCTAATTTGCCACTGAAGTGAGGGAGGAGCCTGGAGTCACCAGGATGTTCATTAATTTCGCAGAAGGGCAATGCAGATGAGCTCACTGCCTGAACAGGTAGTGCTTGCTTTTCTTCCCCACCCCTTCACACTCACACCCTCATAATGGAGATGGAGGAGAGATAATAAAAGAGGGAACAGGCAGCTCTTCACCATTTGTGAAACTAATGAGCCCCTTCATTTGATCTCATTATGAACGTGCCACCTCTGGCACCTGGCTGTGGTTCTGTTCCTGGCTACAGCCACATCAATTTTGAGGCACGCTGATGCATTACTAACATACGCAACAGCCAAATCTCTTCCTTTCAGCCTTTTTTTTTTTTTTTTTTTTTTTTTTTTTTTTTTTTTTTTTTTGTCGTTGTACTATCTGGGACATTCCTCTCTGCATTGCTCCCCCCTTGAGAAGCTCAGAAGCCTAGATTGAAAAGTAATGAGACTATTAATTAGACCTTCTCTAAATGAGGGCTATCCTGACTGGGTATTGTCTCCATCTCACTCTTTGTTCCAGGCATGTTCTGCAAGATTAATTCTTGTTTACACAGATTAATACAAGTATCTCCAGCTAGAAAGAAAAAAAAAAAATAAAAATTAAAAAAAAAAAATCTATCAGCCTGAATAAACAGCCTGATTCTTCTGGAAGTGGACAGCTGAGATTCACATAGAGGAGATGCGTGCCACTCTTAATCTTCCACATCTTCCATGCACTCCTATGCTATCTCAGTAAAATAGCATCTTCCTGTTTTGAAGATTTGATGCTGAAGTAGTTGCTGTGTGTAGTAAAGGAAAGAGACACAAACAGTACAAAGACTACCTGTCATCTTTTGATGCTTGTGTACTATCCAGGAGTGGGAATCTATTTTCATCTCTCCTGGCTATTTGGAGATTTTCCTGAAATGAATCAGTGATCTCATGCTAGTTCAGAGGAAATACACACGTGTTGAAATTTTGGATTTTTACCATAGGAACTGAGGACTATGCAGATACTATCTGAATTTCCCTAAGTAAACTTCTCTACTGTGAACTGAAAATATGAATGAAGTGCATATAGTGCAATACTAGGTTTTGTTTAACTATCACAGATGAGGATAATAGTGAAATCGTGGAACAGCGAATGTCAAGGAGTCTAAGACTCCCAGCAGCTATTTGGATCTTACTGTTAACATTATTATTTCTTTAAATCTTTGCTAACAAATCCAAAGCTGATTACACCCTTACTGGTTGCAGAGTATCTTAGCATAAGGCACCTCCTCAGACTATGAGACTAATGGAGAACTACAGTAGTCTTAGCAAACTTGTCTGACAGGAACAAACAAACTGACCACCAGAAAATGATACCATGAAGGTTCCCAAAATGCTGAAAGATCCTCCACTTGTTTGAAAGATCATTTATTTTTCAGGAACATTTACATCTACAAATACATAAATACCCATATTTTTCAAAGCATACAGCATGTACTGGTAAGTTTGTTTTCAAAGAGCAGAAGTCATGAAATAGGAAAGGAAAAAAAAAAAAAGGAACAGTTAAGGTATATGGTGGTATTAAAAGAGATAGCTATACCTTTCCAAAATTTTCATTTCATAATCAAAGGGGAAAAAAATAGACAACTAAGTGAATAAATTCTTTAGGTTAAGATTATTTCCTGCATTCACAAATTTAATACAAGAGGTGCTCTAAAAGTAATGCCTCCTATTTTATTATGTTGGCCCACAGTGTCAAAGGTGGATGTTAGTGGTGGAACCCGCCCATCAATTCTCAGTTACGTGTTGTTGCTATGTGACAGCTGACGGGTCATCTGGCACAACTGGCATCAGGTGTGGAAGAGCAGATGAAGCAAGGGTGTGTCATTTAATTCTAACAGGTGGAAAAAATGCCACCCATTGACATTCATTGACATTAGCTGAACGTTGCCAGAGATCAAACATTTGAGGTGGTGGGTGGTGAGTTTCAGATCATAGCATGCAGGACATAGTTCATCGCTGGTGAAAACGAACAGCTTATGATGGTGACTATGAAAAATAGTGATCTTTAGCTAATAACTTGCTCTCTCAAATAGTTTTGTTAAATAATGCTTTTTTATCTGTTGTGGTTTCAATGGAAATATAACTAAACTAAATTGGAGACATTTCTTCTGGAGTTATCTACATAAATTCACTTAGCAAGAAATTTCAGTGCTTTGATAAAGTTAATGCAAGACTATTGAAGTCTTTTCTGGCTGATAAATAAAAGACAATGTCTTCTTTTCTCCACTTCAGTGAGGGATAGCAGCTGCCATTCTTCTGGAACTCCAGAGCACTCAGCACTACTGGACATGATATCCTGCTGTCTTGCACAAGAGAGGAAAAAATGTTGTTCCTTCATCAAAAGAAGCATCCAAGCATGCTGCTTCCCACAGTTTACTACTGAATTGTGGGACTGAGTATGAAAGGATCCGCTGTCTTGAGCCATCTATAATATAAAGTTTAGGTGGACTAATGGGAGAGCACAGTGACACCCAACAAGATAAAACATGAAGACAACTCAAGTGCAGGGATGAGTACCAGCTGACAGCTGAATTCTGATAGGCTAAAGACAATATATGTGGATAGACAGTAGTAGTTCCCAACAGTGCTGATCACCTCAACTTCAGAGACTGGTGGATTCCTTTTTCTACAGAATTCTCATGGAGAAACATCTGAGTATTATGCTTTCTAGTGTATTCAGATGGCTGGAATGATGACCTTGCCTTGGAAATTCACAGCCTTGTTGCCTTTTGACAGAACTATCTTAATGCAATAAATAAAATTGAAAAGCACTTTCTATTTTTAATCTAGTGTGAGCTAGTACGCAACCACAGAATAATATTTGTTTTCCTAAAAAATAAAAATGTTACCTTTATAGCAACTCTGTTCTTATGGATAGCTTTCTAGTCAGCACAAATCCACTTCCTAGAGAGCTCTGAGGATCGCCTCTTCAGCCCTGACATGAGCCTTGCACCTGTCAGTGACCTGACCTAGACACTGGGTTACTACTTCAATAACTGATGCAGATTTCACATCCTCTGGGTAGAAAATATTGAAATAACTCTTAGCCACTGAATCTTTACACTTTCACATTATTTCCTTCTTCCTGCTTTTAAATCTCCATACATAACAGTAAAAAAAAAAAACCCTTGTCTACATTTCATCCCATCGTTAGCAAGTATCACATGTACAGCAAAGAACAATAAACAAAATAAAACTTTCTCATAAGAAACAAAACTGAAAAACTTCTCCTATTGAGTAATTTTATTATTCAATTACCTTTATTATTAAATGTTTTAAGTCTCCAAACTGGCTTGCCAGATGCATATTCTATGTTGAAATGGAGCCACATATAATGAATTTGTATCAGAGAAAATAATACAAAATAACACAAAAGAACTAAAAGCTCTAGGAGAAAAATAAATAAGAATAGCAAATGAAGAAGATATTATGAGATCTGACTGAAAATAACAGGTTATATTAGATTGGATTTATTTGAGTAGACAAAGTCTTGAGCCTTAATTCTATCCCTGGCAACTATGCCCATACATGTTTGGTCATAGAACACTTTACAACATCTATTTTACTTGACATAAGCCATAAAACTTTCTTAACTTCCTTAACAAACTTAAAGCCTACAATAAAAGCCCAAAAGCTAGAATTATTGCCAAGAAGCCAATAAGCCACTTTCCCAACATAACAGGGAAAAGAAAAATCAATAAAATCCCAGCTAACTCTAAGCAGACTGCTAAGTTCCATACCACAGAAGGCAGTGAAAAAAGAACAAAATCTAAAGCCTTCACTGTTTCCTACTAATATGAGCAAAAGGGAAAATCCTCTTCCAATCCAGGTTTGTCAACTGTACTTTGAGAGCAAAGCACTGGGTACAAAATAATGATCATCATATGAATTTCTACAGCTTTTAGGAATACTGGGATGCTCTGTCCTTTCATCATGTTTCTCCCAGCTCAGCATTGTGTTGAAGGAATGCAGTTCCAAGGTTGTAAATGGGGGAGGAGTGACAAAGTAGGCGATTAATGCAGGCCTTCAGATAGTACCAGTATAAAACAAACAGCATGCAATCAGTGATTGCAACTGCTTTAAATTCCTTTTAACAACAGAGCTTCCTCATCCTGTCTCAAAAATTCCATCTGAAAATAGCTTATTCTCTTCTAAGATTAAGTGAAGTTTCAGAACTCTGTTCTGGTGATTGGAAATCTTCCAATTTCCAGTCTAAACTTATTTGCAACTATTTGATAGTTATTTTTTACCTGTCTCTCTCTATGACAATCTTTCCTCATCCCCAGATTTATATATTCACATCTCGTCAGTCAGCTTTTTTCTTGTTTCATAAACTAAATTCTGCTTTCACAAGAGATCTCTCTCTTACTGAGATCTTATGAGAGATCTCTTGTGAAAGCAGAACTCCAATAGGGAACTCAATTCACTTGTTCTTCCTGTGAAGTTTTTTCTGCATCTCTGTTGATTCCATTTATCTTTCTTCAGCACTGACCACAAGAACTACCCATGTTACAGATTTTTCTTTTCTTACCAATATAATATACACTTAGGTATCCTGATGTATGGGAACTGCTGAATCACAGCCTGAACCTCACTGATTGATCACCTGCGGTGAGCAATGAGTCAGCCACGAGAGCCTGGCTCCACTTCTCCTAGAACCCATTTAAGAGCTGGCTACCAGCTCTTAAATCAAAGAGATCAAGGGATCTCTTCTGGGGATTCCTCCTCTGGAGTTTTGCAGCAAGCCCAGGACACAGGTAAGCTTTTTACCTATTCTCTTTTTGTTATTATAATCTGCTCTGTCAAATTCTCTTGTTTATTTCATAATTATAACATTGTTATATTCATTGACTATACACCTGAGCACTATTAAAATTTATCCATGAATTTTTATAGCTCTGTCTTGCAGCACTGTTATCATCTGAACATATCACTGTTAATCCAGCTGGATCTCCTTCCTCTTCTGCTACCTCCAGTTCATGAATTCTTACTGAATATTGATGAAAGTTCATGTAGAGGTTTTTGACTGAGGCTTGCTATGACTTGTTCAGGCTATTCTGCTATCACTTCTTATTGTACCTTCATGTTGTTCCACAGCCAAAAATGTTTCCTCTGTAAACATTTCAAAAAATACCTGCCATAAAGACCTAAATACTAATGATATGGTATCTTTCTAAACCAACTCCTCAACTAATCTTTGAATCTGTAACATTTAATAGCAAAGCAAGAGAATGCTAATCATTTCCCTTCCTTTCTTATCTATTTATCTGTATATCAGTCTATCTAGGGGTCTAGCTCCAACATATCCTGGTTAAGTAGTGAAGAAAGGGATTTGGATTTTCATGAAAAGTACTCTATTGTCCACATCATAGTCATTCATTGATTTAGAACTGTATCTTGCTGACAATGATTTAAATTATTAGTCTCATTAAAAGGGTGAGGTTATGACTTAAGGTTAGGATAGTTATCAAAAAGTGTTACAAGGCTAAAATAGTATCTGCATGCAGTTCAATTGTCTATATATGTAAGATAAAGGTTAGGAGGGCAGACATTTCAGTAACAACGTCCTACAGCTCAGCAATAAAATTATGGAATGTATCTTGCTTATGAGGATAACCTGACTTGCAATACAGATTTATCCCCACCCACCTCCTTTTACAACTATTTGAAGTCTTATCATCTAGTAACTTCTATTTGAGATGGTTTTGGCCTTCTGAAATTTCCCTGAATTTCCACGTAAATACTTAAGTCTCTGGTACTCGACAACATAGAAATTCCATTTTCAAAAAAGAAATGGTTAAACATCTTCAAGCAGAAGAAAAAGATCTTCAGTACTGTGAGGAAAGGTTTAGTTTCTATAAATATTGGCCTATTTCCTGTTCATTTGAAAATATCTGTAATGTGGGATGCATGTCTGTACAGTAGCTAATTCAGAAGGGGTCATAGAGGTTTCAGATTTCCTTTTGGAAATTGCCAATTAGCAGATTCTACATTGAGTTCATTTTTCCTCAGTGGCACATCATTGTAGAATGACAAATTACAGGAAGATATTTAATACTATATCATAAATGATGACAAAAATTCAAGCAACTTTGGGTGGGCTTCAATTGAAATCAAATGTTTTGACATTAATCTTCCTTGTAATAAGATACGTTTCACAGATAGCTACTCCATGGCACAAGAGTTCTAATAAGCAGGAGTTCTAGGAATACTAATAAACATGGAAATAAAAGAGGTCCAGCCCTATACATAAAAAGCCCCAAATGCACGTATGTGGTCTGAACTTTTCAAGAGTATGATCAAAGCTAGGCAGAGTGAATGGAAAGGCTCTGGAACAGGCCTGATGTGTTGACAGCTAGAGAGATGCTCTGAAACCATCTGAAAATAAATTCAAGCTCTGATAGGGCACTCTGGCAAAAGAGATACCATTGCTTCGTTCTCCTCCGTGTCAGGAAATTATCTCTGATCTGTCAGTGCTGGTTTCTCATTTTAGTGTTTACGTTTCTGGCTCATCTCTCACCAAATGGTTTTCCTTTGTATATATGACAATTGATTAGTAATAAAAAGTAACAGGGTTATAAAAGTAGCACACTATCTATATTATGAAATATAATATGTATCTATAATATGAAATATTCTTGCACATAGCCAAGTCTAATCTACTTCAAGTAATATCCACCACACAACAGATAAAGCAAAGAGCCAAATTAGTTTCTGCTATCATGGGGCCTTTGTACTTTAACATTCCTTTATCCAGTCTCAGCATTTCTAAGAAATTTTTAACTTTCTCCTGGGCTCTGATCCACCTTAAAAGCAGCAATCATATTCCAATCGATTTGGTGAGATGAATGTTATTTACACTTCAGTTTACACCTTTTTCTAAGATTTCATAAGAGAATAAATCCACACTTCCAGGGATGGCTGTGCATGAGGAAGTCTTGGGCTGTTAAGCAGAAGTGTTAGACACGTATGGGAATGTATTAGTAAGGGTCACACCTCCATCTTAAAATTTTTTAGTGACAGTGAGAGCATAAAAGACAGCAGGATAGCAAAGAGATTGATTGCATGTGATTTTTTTTTTTTTTTCCTTCTTCATACACGTTTTTGAGACTGCTAAGCACTGCTATTCAACAACCTAGACTGATCATATCACCATGGCACATAAGAGATTTGGGATTAAAGCTTTGAAGAAACTCCTTTAAGTTACGTATGTAATGTCTACACTACATATGCCAAAACCAGCAAATATTTAATGCATGCTTAAAATTAGAGATTACTAAGGCATTTTTGTGGTTCTCATAACATAAATTCTTTAGAGCACCAAGGTGTAACTGACAGCATTCTTTCAAAGCCATCATACCTGCATGAGTCAGGTAGAAAGAATCTTGCGATGACTGCACTAAAATGAAACAGATAAACACCAGTGCATCATATCACTTTTATTCTTGACTCCTTCCTTCCCTTTTTTCCTGCTTTTTCTCACATGTAATGTCAACAGTTTTCCTGGCCATCACAGAAATGACAATCATAAAATGGCTTACATTAGAAAGGACCTCAAACTCAGACTGTCTAGTTCCAACCCCTGCAATGGGCAGGCTTGCTACACACTGAATTAGACTACCCAAGACCCTGTCCAACCTAGTTTTGAATGCCTCCAAAGATGGAGCATCCATGGTGCCTCTGTGCCACTGCCTTGCCACACCCTGCGTGAAAAATTTCCACCTAATATCTAATCTAAACCTCCTCTCTTTTAGCAGAAATTCATCCCTTATTTTTATAAAAATTGGTCTCCCTCATGTTCATGAGCTCTCTTCAAGCACTGGAAGGGTGTAATGGGGTCTCCCCATTATCTTCTCCAAGCAAAACAAGTCAAACTCCCTTAATCTTCATAGGAGAAATGCTCCAGCCCACTGATTGTCTCTGGATCCACTCTATAGCTGTATAATCAAAGAATATTAGGCTGTTATAATCACAAAATAAACAAGAGAGTTAGGCAAAGTAGACCATGATAACAAAAGAGAACAAATAGAAGGCTTACCCCTATCCCGGGCTCACCCACAAAACACCAGTAGAGGTGATCTCTAGAAGAGATCCTTTCCCCTCCTCCCCCTAACCAGCTCTTAAATAGGTCTAGGAGAGGTGCAGCCAGGCTCCACCCTTTCCAGCAGCACAGGAGAATTGCCTTCACCTGTGCTCCTCTGGCTGACTCATGGCTCAGCTCAGGTGATCAATCAGAGGTTCAGGCCGTGACTCAGCAGTTCCCATACAATAGTCTACATTCTACATTCATACATACAGTCAGCCTGTATGCATATCTGGGATTGCCCCGATAAAAGTGCAACACACTGTGCTTGACTTACTTAAATCTCATTAAGTTTGCATGGGTCCACTTTTCAAGCCTGTCCACATCCCTCTGGATGGCATCCCTTCCTTCTGTTTTATCAACTGCAGCACTCAGTTCAGTGTCAGCAAACTTGCTAAGGTTCACTTAATCTTACCATTTAGCTTGCTGATAAAGCTAGTGAAGAGCACCAGTCCAGAGGTGGAACCCTGAGCTGCACTACTCATGACCAGCCTCCACATGGACATAGAGCTGTTGTCCACAACACTCTAGCTACATTCATCCAAACAGTTCCTTACCACTGAATAGTTCAGCTTTTAGATTCATATCTCTTTAATTGAAGGATAAAACTTCCTGAAGAGAGGTTGTGATGAGGAGGGGTTTGGCCTCTTCTTTCAAGCAACAAACAGGACTCAAGGAAATGGCCACAAGTTATACCAGAGGAGGTTTAGATTAGACATAAGGAAAAACTTTTTCTCTCAGAGAGTGGTCAGGCACTGGAATGTCCGGCCCAGGGAGGTGGTGGAGTGGCCATCCCTGGCAGTGTTCAAGAGGTGTCTGGATGAGGAGCTATGAGATATGATTTAGAGGTTTGTAATAGCAATAGGTAGTGGCAGGACAGTTGGACTAGATGATCTTGAAGTTTCCTTCCAAGCTTGTGATTATATGATTATATAAGGATGTGGTGGGGGACCACAGCAAAGGACTTGCACAAGTCCAGGTAAATGACATCAGTTGCCCTTCCTTTGTCCAGTGATACCATCACTCCATAGGTGAGCAAAAATTGAGAGGTCTCTGGGCTTGTTTGAGTTGCAACTCCTGCATCTCTTCATGGCCTTCTTTGTATCTGTCCAAAGTTCCAGAATGCTGGTCAGGAGGCGAAATCTGGTCTTATGGTCTTAACCATCTTGGTTATGCTGGAAACTCCCCTGTGCCAGGCAAGCTGATGCAGTTATATCAGCTTCATGCTTTCAGAGGGTTCCTTCAGGACAGCTACCCAATTGCCTGTAAAGCCTGACTTTGCCTTTGTAACAGTAACATGGTGTACAATGCCAACATTCACTAAAAGTCTGACTCACTCAGAATTTCATTGGGAATCATTTTTCTTATGAACTCCACGTAGTTGTGGTCTCTGCACTGTTGTGATCAGCATGCTATGTTTTGGCCAGATCCTGAGCCAAATTGAAAGAGAACTCTGTAATACCCAGTCCTCCTCTCATGGCATAGAAACGTATTCTGTGTTCAAAATCAGTAGAGCTAAAAAATCAGCATGACCTAGATTCTCAACTGCAAAGCAGTGGTGGCTGCATCCTTGCTTGGTACAAGCCTGCTGTGTTTGAGTAAGGCTGCTGCTTTCTCATGATGTCACTTCTGGGTGTTCCCAGGAATAAGGGAAGATGGTGTTTATACTTGTGTTAACTGAGTTACCAGAGGGCTCAAATGTATTTTTAAAACTCTTAAGGCCTTGAAATTATCTTCACTAGTTGAACGGCCCCCTTGCATTTTTCAAGTGTTTTTAAATGAATCCTTCCTTGTTTTCATAAAGGAGAATCAGTGTCTATTTATCTATTTTCCTTGAAGATGACTAGGGTGGGGGGCTATTGTTTTGGTTTTACAAGAAGTAAAGATCTGAAGAAAGGCCAGCTATGGCCAATGGCCAACCTTATGATCCTGCTTGGGCGCTCACCATTCTATACACTGACAGTAGTAAATTCCAGTGTGTAAATTCTTGTGCATTTGCGGAGTCATACTGAGTTGTAGAAAATTTTCTACTTGAAAATTTTGCTTTGCTTTTGAATATGAAATGAAAAAGCATGGGTTCACAGAACAGGTATATTTCATTGGTTCACACTCATTTTGATGAATTAATTGCTTTGAAAAAAAAAAATCTGGTTGAATACAAACAGAAGAGATTTCTGTTTTTCTCATTTTCAGTTTTAATAGGGCATCACAAGTTTTAAAACAGTCTTCACTGAGATTAAACTGTTTATTGATGTACCTTTCAGTTTTGGCCAACCAGAAATTAATATTTTTAAATCTCCTAATTAAATAAGAAAGAAGTTCATGAAACTACACATCTGTATTTTAAGAAGAAAAATTGCTTTTCTGTGCTCTTTCCAGGTGTATAAACATTTAAAGTATTGTGAGACTTCAGCATTGCAATATGAAGAAAAGGCAAGAGAACATCAAGTACCTTGGCAACACATCTTTGTTGTATGCCACCAGCAGCTGAAGACCACTAAGCAAACTGAAGATCAAACTTTCCAGATAGAGACTAAGGAAGAGGAAAAATTAGAGACTCAAAGAGGAAAACAATGTGGGATCATAGTTTCAAGGAGGGATGACTGGGTTCAGGGGGCTGTTCCATTTGGGTTTGCAAATGATAAAGAAAAATCCAAGTTTTTTCTCTATCGCACTGCTGTATTTGTAGAAACATTAAGAAAAGGTATGAACTGAGCAAGTGCAGAGAATAGTTGTAGGGAGAGCATAAAACACATCTGTGATGTGTAAAACTGGTGTGCAAAGCAGATGACTGCCACTTCACCTATCTGTACACAGTGTGCTGCTCACTGGCTCCCTCAGTGCCAACACAGGCACTTGGTTCAGTGGGATGAGGGAAGTGCTGCGTGGGGACAGATCTACCAAGCATCTCTGTCACTGACTTTGAGAAAGAGGAAATGAGAGAGAGCTTACGAATCATGATGGAAGCATTTCTTCCTTTGTGAGATGAAGACCTATCTGAGGACTGTCTCTCCTGCTGCACAGGGTTTTCTCAGCCTTGTCTTCTACATCTGTATCTGACTGCCTGGCTTGACGTCCTATGTTGTCACATTGGCTCATCTCTGTCTATTCACATGGAGCCGCAAATCAAGTAAGACTTACCCTATAGAAGCCAGGGCTAACAAGAAGGGACTATTTTTAGCATAAAAGTGAGTTTAACGAATGGATTGTGGCTAAGTCAGCATGACAGCCTTGCAGACTAATTAATCGAGACACTGAAAGTGATTTTGTAACAGAGCCAGAATCACTATTACTCGAGGACTTTAGAGCAGGCAGATTTTGCAGTTCTGCTCTGTTGTCCAGCTGGAAAAGGCAGCCCAAATATACCTGAAAATCTGTCTGAAGCACACTCCCTAATGTATCCTGCTCCAAGACAGACAATACAATATTTCCTTGTTTTGTTTGGCTTCATTCCTTGTTTGCACTAGCATTAATTAGAACCCTAATTACTTCCAGCCTTTCCCTCTTTATTATTCAGAGAAGTGTCTAATAACTGCTGAGATGGATCACTCTGTACTGAACTGAAGCACTCTGGTTTTAGAGAAGTATTGAGACCCCTCTCTGTAGGGTGACAGGTGAAAATGCTGGCACAAAAAAAAAAAAAAAAAAAGTGACAGAAATCAAAACTAGAATCAAGACGTGGTCCATTGTTCATGGTATGATTCCCGGCCAAGCCCTGTCCACACATGTGCTTTAGGCATTTAATGGCTGCAAAGATTTTTTTAATTCTTAACATGGATCACTCAAAAGTAAACATATGAGGCTCTTCATTAGTCTCTCCTCCAAATTTTCCCAAAGATCTTTTTGAAGAGCACAGTATGTAATTCCCTGGAAGATAATTTTATAGCAAACAATTTCACAATCGGAGACTTTTCCCACAAATGAACTGGCTTTGCCTGCAAGACAACTCCTTTATGTTCTCTTTTTCTTTGAAGTTCTATTCAATTTGGCTGAACCCACATGCCTTTAAAAAGAGATTTTCTCCTGCAGACCATCCTGTTTCAGGAAGTTCTCAGCTCACCATTGCTGAGCTTCTCTATTGAAATTATTATCTCAGGAGCTGCTCCCTAGGGAAATTACTGCAATCCAATCACCACAAATGTAAATTAAATCAGCATCCAATATAACCACAGCAGTTTGTGTTTCTCCCCACTCCTTTCTCCCTATGAGGAATCTAATTCTGGAACTACTGGAATAATTTTCACTCCCCACCTCCCACGGGGAAATAGCTGCAGTGATTTTAGAGCAGATACAGTCTGTAGGAAATTACAGCACAGCTTAGCAGTGATGCTGCGTTCTCTTTCTAGCTCACGCTATTTCATGACATCAGCAGACTTCCTTCTGCTCAGCCTCCCATCTTCTCTATTTTTGTTCTGTGGACTTAATGCAGGGAATCCCACTGTCTGGGTGAGACCTTGTTTATAGTGTCCCACACTTGAAAGTTGAAGTTCCTCTGTTGCAGGTTTGGGAATCATCATAGGAGCTTAGATGTAGAGCCAGTTGACAAAACGTTCAGCAGCGCACTTGACCAGCATGGGCCCTGCTCCATCTCACAGCTAGGTAAAAGGTATAGTTCAGGTTGGAATACTGAAACATTAACTCAGAAAAGCACCAGGTTCCACACAGTAGCAGTCAATAAACCAAGGAAAGGGGAGGGACAGTTGTGCAGAAGCTGAAGTACTGATGAAGAAAGTCAAAAGCCTTTGAAATTAAATATCATAAGAACAAAAACACCTGGGTTACCAAAATTTTCATCTGCTTCCATCTGTCTTTATCCAAGAGCAAACTCAGCTCACCATAGCAAACATGTGCGTGAGAGTCTAGTAACTCAGATAGCAAACAAATCAGTGAAATGCCTCCAGCTGTGTTCTTGGAGCCGCTGAAGAGTCTGCATCATATTTCCTGAAAAAGTCAATGCTAGAACAAAGTCCTCTGAGTGCCCCAATAAGGTAATTTAGCAAGCATCAGGTACTATGCAGAAATGTGATGGCCCTTTCTTAGCATAAGTGGTAAGTGATGTCCATAAGACCTGCAATTATAAAACCTGGGATTACAAATAACACTTCACACTGAAGAGCTTTCCTATATTATTATTTATAGGAAAAAAAAACAAACACTCTTTAACATCAAAAATGTTAACCTAAAAATGAATAATGTTAATATAGTTGCTTCAAACATTAAGAGAATCCTTGCATGAGTTACTCTGGATATGTACAGTCAAGATTTAACACTTGCAGCAATATCTCAAATCACAAAAATTAGCATGGTCTTACTCTTATGTCATTTAACATAACATTTTAGTTGTTTTATTCATTCTGTATCAAAGAGTTCAAGTGCTACCATTATTACATTACTACTAATAAATAATTTTCAACCTTAGAACAACAGTCTGATGTAAGGTGACATTAAGAAAAAAAACCTCACATCAAAATGGAGTTCTTTATAATTCCAAACAACTCTGCAGATCTAACAGTATTGAAAGAATAGAGTGGCTTTCTCTTCCTCAAATGTAAACTACAGACTCATCCATTTAATTCTGCCCAGTAATTTTCCTTCTGTGTAGATCTTATAGAGAGTATTGTACAAAATATTTTTCTTGCATTACATAAGGAAACATTCAACCAACATCAGTGTGAGTAGCTGAGGGCGGGCGGGCATCACCCAGCAGTTTGTATTGACAGCCGTTGCTGTGCAAGGCACATAACTATCAGTGAATGTTGGGCTTTCATGTCTTTGAATTAAAATGCAATACAGTTGGACCACTTCTTTATTCTGTAAACTTCTATTCGGTAAGCTTTGACATAATTCATTTTTTCATTTTTTCATTTTTTTTTAAATTTTACTTTTCTTTTAAATTTTACATTTCTGAAATATAACTGCAAAATAAACTACAGTATCGGTACTGAGCAGCTTTACTTTGTCTCAGAAACGAAATACTCTGTTTACAGAATTTATAGGCAGCTCTGTTTTATTACCAAGAAGTGACTGAAAATTCAGAAAAACTCAGAGGTAGAAAAGACAGATGAAGCAGTGCAACCATTACAAAATCTCTAGTATGTAGTGGAGGTCAAAGAAAAAATCAGGCTAAATTTTGTAAATTGTGTACTTAGGAATAGCAAGAAGTAGTGAAAAAGTGCATTTAAGTGTGCAGCTGTATTCCAAAGGATGGCATCATCCAAGGAGTGATAGAGGCACAGACTGGTAATGTAATGTAAGCAATTAGTTCTGGCAGCTACAAAAGAACTGGTGAAGCAGAAAAATCAGTCTCAAGAACTAATCTGTATCTGCACAATAGCAATGTCTTGATAACACATCTGAAACATGGCAGCTCAAACAGACAGGCCAGAAGACCTATATGGATGCCTCAGATAGCTGTCACCCACTAATGACTCTGAGTGTCAGGTGGAAGCAGAGAATTATCATTTGGGAAATATAAAAGCGAATATAGACAAACCATCTACCACTTAAAAATAAATAAATGTAAAATGTGCCTCAGAGCATGAGGTCAGACAAAAACATTACTTACGGTTCAATTTTCCCAAACTACTCTCTTAAGCTGTTTGTTCTGTATCTGTACATGTAAAGTATTCTATGCATTGTGAGAGCACCCTGTACACCCTGGAGGCTCTGCCTCCACAAATCATTTATCTAACATTGTACAGATGTGTCATTCAAACAATAGAATTGCAAATTAGGCTTGCTTATATTAGTAATTTTGCTGTAAGCAGTTCTTTGGATAGAGTACCGCATGCAGCTGTCCCTATCAGCCTCTTTCTAGGTGACCCTGACCAAGTCTTTTTCCCATTTCTCCACCCTTAGAAATGCAACACCAACAGTGACAGTCACTGAAATACTCTGAGCACCATGCAATCGATGATCCCATTCTGACACCTTTTACATCACCCATGAGCAAGGCAAGCACAGGGATGCGAGTCTATAATAGCACATAGGGTATATAGAGCAGCATCTGTGTTGGAGGACTTCTGAGGAGGTCTCCTGGCTGACCCAGCTTACCTTGGTTCAGATCAAGATATGCTTGGGCAGGTAGCCCAGGGGTTTCTTAGGCTCAAACACGCTCACTGAGGGAGCACCGGCTGTATCAGGTAATAGCTGGCTTAGGTTAAATCCCCCAAGTGCGGATGCAGTGCGGATCTCAGCACTGACAGTTTCATTGTAATTCACTCCTGCTGTAACCTGTTAGTTAATGTAGACATAGCCTACACTGATTAAAATCAGTCCAAGTCTCTAGAATAAATGAGACATGAGAACCAATCATTTTCTGTGGAGTGCGAACTCCTTTATGGATCTGCTGATGTCTAAAAAGGCTGAGCTCATGCTGTTGCCTGGGAAGTTACTGAAATCTCACTGCTTGCCCCACTGCCTATTTCTCTAAGAGACAAGAATGTAATGTTCTGGATATCTTCTATAATATCTGATAAAAAAAAATTGGACAGAGGTACTGTAGGCTGTTGGGAGGTAAAAGGATGGAAGGAAGACAGCTTTTCAAAGATAGGCTAAAACACTATCTTGGTTGGTTGGTGCTGATGTGTCCAAAGTGCCATGGGAAAGCAGACCACACATACCACAGTTTTCTAATAACTTTTGCAATACCTGTATTTTGATATTAAATGTAAGACTGATTTTCCTCTTCAAAATGTATTCTGCTAGCAGTGACTAGAACACAAGTCTTCTGTCTTACACTAAAGGTTCATCTAAAATTCCAACCCTGTCTTCATCGCTTCGAAGAAAATTACAAATATTTTTTAGAAGCCCTCAGCAGGAGAGTATCATTCAACTCCCGATAAAGTAGAAGCTCACACTTGAAAAATTATTTCAGAAAATTATTAATTTCTCAAAATTTCACAATGTAGCATGCAAAGATTTTTACATGACAGGAACTTCTTTTAAAAGGGCTTACTATTTTGAACATACAACTAAACTTGTAATTGAAAAAAGTAGCATGACAGTGGATGGAGTAAGTCTTTAAGAATTTACTTTAAAATTACATTCAATTGACAATAATTAAATTTAAAATTCAGAAAAGCAGAAAGAAAACTTCATGTTGACCAGTAAGACAGGCCATTCCAGTTTGAAAAAGTAGCTTAGTTCAGCCTTAACTACAGACCACTAAGTGGCATTCGTATGACTGATAGCTAAAAAAAACCTCAGCTCTCTTCCTCTACAACCAATTGAAAAGAGGAAAATACATTGTTTAAATCATCATTTAAAAGAACAAAATCCCTATTTGGATTTATTTTTTAAATTACCTCAAATTCCAAACTGCCCAGAACTATTTGTACATCTTTCAGAAGGTAATTGCTATTCAGTTGTAAAAGAAGTGGACATCAGCAATGAATTTTATCATTTAATTATTTCACAAAATGCCTGCTGTACTGTACTGTAACTACCTACTTAAAACAAACCTGGGCAGGGCGGGTAGGGCTGGTGGTCCCTGATAAGTTGCATGGATTTGTCGTATCCTCTTAAGCCTGGGAAGTTTTTTATTGCTACTTGGCAGAAGTGCAGTGTAAGAGATTTGATAGAAGACACACTGAAAGGGCAAAAGGGCTGCAGTAGATTACATCCTACAGAAAGGACATGACAGTGTCCTTTCAGAGATAGTGCTACTCTATTCTAGCCTTGAGGATGTGTAGGATATCCATGGGTATGGTGACTTGAGATCCACATGGGTGTGTGCCATCCTGTCCTATGGGAAAGTCCTGAGTCTGACTGCACACCACCACGAGTTCTCTTTTACCAGCTCTCATCTCCCTGTGCCTTCCAGAAAGCTTACTTCTTTGACATACATAAAATGGCAAGAATTACCTTAAATTACAGATGCATTATTTTCTCACCTATCTTAGTAGCCTTCTTGCAGAAAGCACTTTTGTAAATGTCATGATGCACTGGAATCAATCGTAGTACATACCCTTTAAATAAAACAACAAAGTAATTCCTGAGAGCCATGGTATTTCAAGACATCCAGGGTAAACACAAAATTTTATTGGTGCTTGGGTTTATTCTCAGGTGATCTGACAAGAAAGCAAAATGAGAAAAATCTGTGGTTGTAGCTGAGATAACTGGAAGGAGATTTTACTATGTATGTATTCTAGTCTCCTTGGGAAGAGGAGATAAAGCCGAGTGTGGTTTTCCCAAAAAAGTGTGTCCAGAGGATTACTTCCTGCTTAATAGCACATAACGAAATGTGTCTAAGTTTCTCATATGGAATATTATTTATGAATTGGGGGAAAAGATAAAATTAATAGGAACATCAAAGATGTGCTGAAAAGTTTCCTGATTAAATATTATCTGACCTCCAAATGTTCTTCCTCTGCATTTCCTGCAGCAGTTTGGCTATCCATCAACCCGTTAACTGCTTCTTCTACAGAAACGCAGATGTCAGGTTTAAAAATACCTGAATCAGATCTTGAATTTTTACTTCACATTGATTTAAATCTGATTCAACAACGTGATATCTTTTCTTAGGGACCATCTGCCCTAGTCTCATCTCTTTGCATCCCACCCTTGGCAAGAAGGTTTGGTACACCATTGATGCTGAGGGTTTCTCCAATACACCCATGAATCCATCATCTGCAGTATGGGGCAGAAGGACTGCGTGGTGTGCGTGACTGTAGCATGCTATGCTCTTGTTACAGCAGGAGTCCTTTTGTCAATAAAAGTCTACAGATCACTGTGGCAATTGAGCCGTAGAGATATTTTTCATTTTATGCTCACTCACACACCGTGATTCAAAGCACACAACAAACTGTAACAAAGGGGTACAAAGGGATACAATCAAAGGATTCAAAAAGACGTTTTCATTTTCTTTCTCTCACTTATACAGTGCCCCTTAGTTGCAACAAGTACCAGGTAAACTCCCCCTTTTTAGGTTTTCCACTACAAGAAAACACAGCTATATGACTGCGAGAGTTCGTCTCTACTGGCAGTCCTCCATATTCAAGGTTTTCTGTCATGTCAAGTATATCAAAACCCAGACATGCTAGGAGAAGCTCACGTCTGCAAATCCAAAGCAGCTTTCCAGGCTCCTCTTTAGGAGCATATTCTGAGATGGCATTTCACAGAAAGCAAAGATGGGAGCATGAGTAATAGTCTAAGTTAGACAGAATTTCATTAAAATAAGTAAAACATTCCGTGTACATTCTTAAGGAGTTTTATGAAACATATGTCAAAACACCTCAGTGATAATTATGACTATTATTCCTCCTGGTAGACTGTAGCTTTTACTACTGTAAGCAAAGATTTCCAGAAACATACCTGCTGTTTCATGGCTCCAGACTCTCCAGCAGGCAGATCACACAGGGTGAATTTGAGACTCCAGCTATGTGGCACAGCTTGCTGCAGGGGAACACAAGAGGCCATGAGAATGCTCTAGCAACCCAGAGTGAGAAGACATGCAATGAGCAGAGAGGTGTCACGAGTACAAGTGTCATCGATTAACAAGTGCTACAAAAAAAAAAAAAAAGAATGGGTAGCAGTTCTAGAAAAAAGCTATGAGAAAATTGCAAACAGGACAACCTCATTTTGAGTCAGTCAGGGGGATAAGATAGCAGAGAGAAGAGGGATCTCTGATTTGCAAAGCAAATTCTATGTATTTAGTTAAAGATTAGTCAAATAACTTACATAATTTTAAAGGCTCATATTGTTCTATATGAAAGTTTAGATTGGTTTATCCTAAAATAGCTAGCTGTGTTTGCTGAGCTAGTTTGATCATACAGCACTTTTCCATGGATTTAATCTTTATG